GTATTTGAGTGTGTGTGAAATGGAGAAAATTAATTTTCGATCGTTATTGACGCTTTCGTCATTTACGTCACAGTTGCGCCATCAGCCTTACAGCTTTATGCTTGATCTCAGAACTGAGAAATGAGATATTATTAATGGTGGATTCTCTGACGTGGATTGCGTTGATCTGTTCAACGATCATTGTATCGTCAGTCATTGTATCGATCGTCATATCGTGCGTATTGAATACGTTCAGTATTGTCATGTATTACCACCGATACTACGGTTAGTAGTTGACGTGACTGACTATCCCAGATAGAGCGACGTTCGTCTGAGCACAATACTGCTATAGAATAGAGGTATATCTTTCAAAAGATGCTGTAAAATCCGCAACAATTTTTGTAATAATGGCAGTAACTATAGTATGGGTGGTCACATACAGGAGTGACACGTTTGAAAAAAGAAAGCGGGTTCAGGAACTGCCTTTTCTCCCTAGACGAACACTTAATTTAGAGGAAGATTTACGCATAGCACCCTGTATTTTCTCAATGAAAGAAAAATTCACTTTATATCATGCCGGTAGGAGATGATCAATCTCCATATGGTGTTATAGCCAGCCGAAGCCATGATTCTACGAAGAGCGGAAACGTATCGTGTTTAATAGCATACATTTCAATTTCAATATCTTACTTTATCAAGTCGAATTTTAATATTCTTTTTTTTTTTCTTTCGTTTTATGTTCCTTTGAAATAGTCTACTTCTCACACTCAAAATAACTCGGTAGCTTCGACCAGTCCATTTTTACCTCAAGGCATACTTGAGTCTCCGACGTGGGTTCGTATTTCTTACACGTAGAAAATTGTTGTGTTTCTCTGTAACAAAATAGTTACTATTTTTCGCGAAAGAAACATGTGTATCTAGCTAAGAACAACGAGCGCTGGTTCGCTTCGGAGAACTTCCGCCGATCATCATTACTAAAATCATTAAAGGGCTTACTATAGGGCCTTTTAACAGACGTCTTTTCTCTAGGATTGTCCTTCCACACACAGGATACTCATATTGTAATTCTGCAAACAACGAGTCTAGTGACTAGAAGGATAACTAGTTATATAGCAGCTCTTCATTTAATCTTGCATTGGTAGGGGGTCCGTGATGGCAACTCGAATGGGGCAAGACAGGGGGGTGAAGGCTAAAGCGTGTGTGGCAGAAGGAAGAACCATGAATAGTCGGCGGGGCAGGGGGGGGGGGGGGGGGGGGGGGGGGAGGAAGGGAAAGTTGCGATAGCGGCAGTGATGACTGTAATGTGTTCTTGCCGTCTTATTTTTATCGTACTTCGTGCGTTGTTTCTCGGGTTACCTCTGCCTATGACTGCTAGAATACTTTGGCGCAGATCGTTGTTGTTGTTGTTGTTGTTGTTGTTGTTGTTGTGGTGAACGGGCTACGGAATGAATGAGGATAGAAAGAGAAGAGTGTAAGTGAGCCAAGTAAAAAACGACCGCCGAACCCAGCGTTTGATTATCCTGAGGCTTTTTTGGAACTTTTATATTAGAATGAATAAAAATTTCTAGGGCGTTGTTGAGGAAGTGTACATAGATAGTTCTGTATGATTGAGTATTTACGTCTCTGTGTGTGTAGATAAAAAAAAAAATGGGTAATGGCGATACATGACAAGAACGATTTAAGGGAAGCATGTTTCTCATGTTTATCTATCTGTATCTCGAATGTATGCAAAATGTTATTATGTATTGCTTATTATTATTATCACATTGTATGCATAGTATCATGCTGCTTTCGCTTGTAGCCTTTTCATCTTGTAGCGTCCTTTGTAAATTTTAGGTACAAACTATTTTCTAAATACGTTCAGGACAGCCGCGTAGACGTTGGCTCAAGAATTGTCGGCATGTGCACCATGGGTAAATGAGCGTTATATATATATATATATATATATATATATATATATATATATATATATATATATATATAACTGTCCTGTTTATGAAAAACATTCAAAGCCTGGAGAAACCATGTGAAAATGATTTTTTAGCGTAGCTTTTTACCTAGTAGATAGTGAAACGAGCAGAGATGATGACGATGGTGATCTTTCTTCCTCACTGGAGAATGAACTTATCATATGTATAGTGTGCATGTTTGCGTGGGTGTGTGTGTACTTAGTAGAAAATTGGGAGGATTATTGATTTTTTTTTTCTAGAAAATGCTGGGGCATTGGCATCGGCGGCGGATGAACTGATTTTTAGATTGTTTTTTTTTCTAGAAAAGTAGCTTCTCTGAAATGGAGCACCTGTTTCCTAAAACGAGCAACCACCTTTAACACTCAACTATTGTCTAAACTCGTTCAATGTATGTATAGAATATATTTTCATGTATATATATATATATATATATTTGCTATATATAGGTTTGTGGTGTAGAGAAAGTGACTAGTGCTTGTAACTGTTTTGCTATCGCTGCATGGCAATAATTATTATATCGTAATGGCGTAAGGCTAGTTATGATCGCATCGGCTATAGCTCTGTTCTTAATTTGAAAAAACTTGTGGACGGCAGGAATATAGAACACTTACTTTCGATAGAGAAGGTGAGCGTGCCCTAGTCCTTGTTGCATATTTTCTTGCATAGATCAAGTGATTGCGTGCGGCCTGTTATGACCGGTTTTTTCTCTATTCTATAATGCTCATTTATAATACAGTAAAATGACTGAAATGTATGGAGTTGTTGTATGATCCTGGCAACTTGAATTTATGTGACTATTACATATGCCATAGGATAACATCAATCACGAATAATCGCATTAGTACTTCCGCAATTTTCGTCGTAGGCCAACGAATCATTGTGGCCTTCTTGCAACAGAGCCGTAAAGCCACGTTAGTCTCTCGTGTCCGTCACGGCTACGGTAAGCCGCACGAGAAATCACATTAATAAATCTCGTTGTCATAAACTTCTCCAGTATCCCGCCTTCAGACATGCTAGCCTACGGTAGTATGTACACGTAATGTAAGCTTCCAATATAAGATCCATTCTATGTATTTCTTTATCATAAGATAGTGCTAAGGGGAATTTTATCTTAGACCCGACCGGCCGTGTCCTGTTGTCATTGCAAAATAATCTGTCGTAAGAATCGCACTATGGCCAAAATCGAGCTCGTAGGTCATCATACCGTAATCATGCACGTCGCGATTTTGTCTCTTCGCTGCATGGGGACATCTACAGAGTGTACACACGTAGAGATCAGAAGATCGAGGGGTTTTCGTAGTCCGTTCCCGTCGTTGGCTGACGTCGTTGACGAGATCACAGCCGGGATCGCAGCGATTATTGTCTCCGCGCTGAATCGTACATCCGTCGCTTAACATCGACTTACTGTTCTTTTCACCTATTGAGAAGATTGAAGGGGTGGCTAAATTTTTCCTTGTATTTATTACGTATCCCTCTGTGAAAGGTTACATCAGCGTGCGCACCTGCAATCTGTATGAACGTCTATATTGCCTGTCCGTATGAGCAGTAGAGTTTTTCGTGCCGAATGCCTTCGCTTTGTTCTGTTACTTGTGAGTGACTTCAATGTCTGCAGCAAAAATAGGACATTAATGGGTAATGTTTTATAGCAGTTTGAAGATTTGATGCCGTTTCCACTTTCTTTTTCATTTATCTACAGAGTTCTTCTTATCTACAGGATCGCAGCAGTAGTTTGTAAATGGAAGCGGTATAAGATTTTGAGAGAGAGGACATATTACATATCCGTTGAAAAATGTTCGGTAGTTCGTGCTATTGTAAACTTGAAGTTGGTGTTTTAGCACCGTCCGCTGTAGTTAGTATTACAATTAATTTTCTGACTCGTTCCGTCGTGTCTGATCATCATCATCATCTTGATTTGAAGACCTCTATTCGGCCGCCCTCGGCTGCGGAAAGTGTGGAATTAGTGGGTGCGGTGGTAGCATTAGGGGCAGGGGTGTTGGCGGGGGCGAAATTAAACTGGACACGGACAGCGGCGATGAAACCGGTGAGTGGGGCGAATGTGGCACCGAGGGGCTCGAACTCGAGTCCTTAAAGCAGGAAGACTCGTAGTGCTTATTTAGGTAACTTTTCAGGGCAAACGTCTTGTTGCATCGCGGACACTGAAAGTGTTTGAAGCCCGAATGTGTCTGCATGTGGGCGCGCAGGTTCGAGCGGTCGGCAAAGGCCTTCCCACAGTGCGCGCAGCCGAACGGCTTCTCGCCAGTGTGTGAGCGCATGTGACCCTGGAGTAACCAGGGCCGCGAGAAGGCCTTCCCGCAGATCTCGCATCTGTGCTGAAGGTTATGCGTAAGAACGTGCATAGCCAACGCGGGCATTGACACGTAGACACGGTCGCAGGTGGGACACTTTTTTGCCAGTTGTGAATCAGGACTTCGATGAGTTTGTTTGTGTCGCGAAAGGTTCGACGACGTGGCATAGTGCTTCCCACACTCCGAACACGTGTATCGCTGCTTACTAGGCTCCTTTTGTTGGGGTGTCGCTGCGCCGAGGATCGCTTCCGTGCTACACGACTTGAGTTTTTCACTTTTCCTTCTCGAGCGTCCGTCCGAGATGAAGAAGGCATCATACGTATAACTCACAGTCACCGAAGGCTTGTACATGGCCGGCAACTTAGGCTTCTTCTCTTCCTTCTGATCGTCCTGATCGACGGAAGCGTCCTCGCCAACGAGATTATCGTCCTCACCGATAAGACTGTTGTTGTTTACTGACAGCTTATTGCTTCTGCCACCATGATGGGCGTGGCTATGGCCATGGCTGAGTAGGCCGTTATTACTTCTAACGTTGTTGTTATTGTGATGGTGATTGTTGTTGTTGTTGTTGTTGTTGTTGTTAGTGTTAAGGGCAATATTGTTACTATTGACACCGGTTGTTGAACTACTATTTATCGTATTGTTATTATTATTATGATGCTGATGTTGTTGATGATGGTGATGATGATTATTATTGCTGCCGCTACTGATACTATTCAAGCTCGTGAGTGTCGTGTGCAAGTGACTATGTTGTATTCCTCCGCTGCCGCTGCCTCCACCGCTACCCAAATTTAGTAATTTGCCGCTTCCTGTTCCGATCCCGTGAAAGCTTCCCAGGCCGTTCAGCCCGTTTAATCCGCTAAGGTTGGTCAGTGCTGAGAGGTTGTTTAAGGCCGAGCTTCGCGACAAGTCGATAGCATGATTATAATTGTTGTCCTGAAGTACACCGGGATAACTGAATGCTGATGGTGTTGGTGGGTCTCGTTGTAACGTACTCGGATGAATATCGAATGCCGGGTTGAATATCGTAAAGTGTCGAGGATAGTGAAGCGGTGTGAATGCCGGAACTACCCCATGGTGGTGGCTGTTATGTTGTGGATGGTTGTGGTGATGGCTGCCTCCTCCCGGTGGTGCGTGTCGAGACGCGGGACTCGACGCTCCACGTCGGCCGCCAACATCCGTCGTTGTTGTCGGCGGCGATCGGACCCGTGGACTGCGCGTCGATGGCGAACTCGACCGCTCACGCGGGAACTCGATCGGGCTGTCATCGTCTACTTGGATCATCTCCTCATCGTTGGAGTCTAACGGCTCGACGCCTGCAACAAGAACGAGGTAACAATAGCAAACAACGGGTTTAAGTCAAATAGCAGGTCGGTTTGCTGGTCTGCCGGTCATCTGCGTCTATCAGCACCTTCGTCTGATATTTGGTCTCTCTCTTTTCGTTGTCGCCCTACGGGATGACCTATGGCGTGAATTAGTAACAAAGGTAACAACGTAATCAACGTCGGTAAATTCGTAGCCACTGTCCCTTTTCGAGCCGTTCGTGGCTGTTAGCGAAATTGAAATGCCGTTTAATCTGAAACTCACTGCTATTGGCGGCCGCTGACCTAACTGTATGAACCGTCGTCAGCGATCAAAGCAAAGGTAATTTTCTGTAGACAAAAAAGAGACGATTCGAGCACTATCCCGCTGCATGCTCCTATCAAGCGCAATCCGGCCAACCACGGATCAGATTATTCTGTAGAATCGGCAGTTGGTGACCAGTTTAACGGACAGCTGCCAGCTGAGTGGGTATGAGCTGTGCAGGTATTAGGCCTGCACACGCCAGCAATATTGATAGCAGCAAATACTGCAGTTCTGAAGCACGCATGATCGAGCTCATATCGACGGTATTTGCAATGCTCCACAAGCGGTCACAGTCCGATGCTTTTAATCGCGTTAAAAAGGGTTTCTCATAATGACGCACCATTCAGACGCTTGAGTTCCTGCTCGGCGCACAATGACGCAACATAAGAGCCACCTCTTCTAGCCCCCTAGACACCCGGCCCCTTCTCCTGGCCTTCCATCCTGTCGGATAGTGTGCCCCTGTTTGTCTCAATCACCTAAACCTGGCACTTTCCTCATCTATCCTATGAAATTTCGAAACCGTGTTCATATGCCTCGCTTATATGGTTTTAGATAGCGAGAGAGCGTTTCGACATTTGTGTCGCGCAATTGCCCATATTATAAATTCCTGTCTGGTTCTTTCTCCCTTAGCCCCCCAGCTCATCTCTCCTTTTCTCTCTTCGTTTGAAATGAATTCAAGGCGCACAGGGTTGCCGTTCACTGTGACGGCCAGGAAATTTGTCCCGTAGGTGTTGCGCAGAATACCCGGCCATGCATAACGGAAGGGACTGCCAGGATGCCCAGGCCGAAGATAGGTTTTGCGTAGGTCGGAAACTATCTGTAGTAGTCGTCTAGCGTCCTCCAGCCTCAATGGACTCAAAAATCTAGAGTAGGCGCAATAGCAGCAGCAACAATGGCACCATAATAGGACCGACGCATCTAGCAACTCGTCTATGGCAACACCGCGAACCTTCCATACGAAGAGAGCATGAATGGTGCAGCCAGCCAGCGTAAGGATGACTCAATTAACTCTGCGGCAGATATGCGTGACGGCAGGGAGTGAATAAGGCGTGTGGAGAGCTATGCGAAATGCCGCAATACGCACACTCAATACGGAACGTCCGGCGATTACGAAATGTGCCTTTGGCCTACTCTACTACTTGGCACTCGCGCTTTCGATATGGCTGTTAAATATCGCTAAATTATCAGTGCAAAATAACGGATCCAGGCTTACATTGACATTAACTTGTCGAACGTACGAATAACAAGCTAACTATTATAAATGATAGAATCTCGATAGCGATCCGCCAGATCTATGCGAAATAGTAAGTTGAACTGCTACAGCTGCTCTTTTCGGCTCAAAATGAGTCCCGATTTTCACTTGAACATAGTCATCTATTTTTGTAGGTCTTTGGTCATGTACGAGTCAGCTTGTCTCTGTGGGGACATACATGTGTCGACGATAGAAAGCCCCTGTATTTCGCCTATAGGCAAAGACTCATTGTAAATTCTATCAGGTTCGAGGTGTACAGATCCGATACGCTCGAACGAAAGCCCCGAATCGTATATGTGAAATATAATAATGATAATCATAATAGCTAAAATATTAGTCATAATCAAGGTATATATATATATATATATATATATATATATATATATATATATATATATGCAACCCTACCGAGCTGTAAAACTGATGCTGTAGAACTTCAGTCTGACTCGAGTAAGCCCAGTCTAGATTTAGCCTAAGTTCAGTTGTCATCCGAGAATAATCAGTGCCTGAATTCCAGTGTTATTTAGCTATAATGTCAAATTTAAAAAAAGTAAGTGTACTTTTGTCCATTATCAAACAAGACATATCCACATATAGGAAGAGTGCAGTGTACAGGAACTTTTGCCTTCGCTCATGACAGCGCTTCGTACAAGCATCGCCACTATGCACAACAGCATTTTCATCAGACATTTAAAGAAGTAACCGCATGATCCTGTGTAAATACGCAAACATTCTCTTATGTATTGAAAACCTACCCAACAAACCTGCTACCCGTAGGACAAAATGAACTTGAGTAAGCCGCCCAAGCGTTAGCGGTGATGATCGAAGTAGCTCATTGAACACAATTCATCGTCGTTCGTCCTCGAAATGGGGAGCAGGGGGTGAAGAAAGGGAGCGGCCGCAGCCGAGCGATCTCCCTTGTTTGGTAAGTGGTGATCGAGTCCCGCACAGCGGATTCACTGACTGGTTGTGCCAGTGGAAAGGTTTGTGTGCGGAAGCTCGTGTGTCTGGGTCGGTGTCGCCAATGGGTAGATACACAGATTTGAACGTACCCGCGTTACGCTCCGCTTCCGGTCAAACCGTACTCTGCTCTTTTTTCGCTAGCGTCTCGTCTAATGCCAATAGCAAGGCTGACCTTCATCCCTGTATTTTCTCTGTCTCTCTGGTTAGGTACCCTTGCCCCTATCACGGCAATGGCGGTGCTCTGCTACTCTAATTGCTGCCACTATGATTGGTGGCACATTGTCGACTTCGTTTGTGACTCCTTTGTTTTCCCTACGGCAGCGCTAGCGCGAGCAGCCCAGGGATGCATGATTGTTTACCAAAAACTGACAGGTCTGCAGTCGTCGCTAAGACACGCACATAAACTGATGTTCGAATATAGAGCAATGCCCCACGACAAGTACATCTGTTACCGTAAGTATATGGTTGTATAAAAAAACTATACGCCCATATATAGGGTCCTGCCTGATTTCTGTCTTTTTTACAGTTAGTGTCGCATCATAACGGCCAGGCTGTAATAATATCGAGGTTATACTGTAGAGCCAAAAATACAGGGTGAAATTAAGTGCGAAACACATAGACTAGTCATCGTCAGGCTTTTCGGTATCTACTCAAATCCTAGTACTTAGTGTGATTAATCATAACTAAAAAGGTCTAAAGTAGGAGGACCAAAAGGCATAAACTGCAAGTCTCCTCAGGCCGTTAACACCACAATCGTAGCGTACAGCAACTGCAGAAAAGAAACCGAGAAACATGGACGAATTTGAGTAAATTGGAAAGCAATCATCCGCCAAGAGTTTGCTGCAAAGTGAGATCTGAGAAATAGCCATTGAATTTAACCCGGACCTGTAGATTAACATCGTTTCTAAAAAAAAAAAACACCGCTACACACATCTTGGATCTCGAACTCACAATACGTTGTCTTCACCATGCCGCCTAAATGTGTATAGGCATGATTTGGTTTGACAAAGTACGAATGCAGGTTCGTATACGCACGACAACTGACAAACAGTCTCCAGTTTGCCAATAAAAAAGGCATATTTCTATCGCTTCGTACCGTTACTTGCAGTTATACAAATGAATTACTTAAGCGTATCTAAACGTTAAGAGATTTATAAATAGCTACACTATATAGGAAGTACGAGACAAAGCGAACCCGGTCCTTGTCGTTGGTCGTTTTGCTTTTGTTCCATTTCAAAAGTTTAACGGGCCGCAATGCAACGCAATTCATAAAATTCTAAATGGCTACTGTGCTTCCATACGTGCCGTACGTCAAAGCGTTCAAGTGGTAAGCGCGCAAACGAGACATTCGTTTATATCGCGCAAACTTTCAATTGCTCACCGGAGCTATAGAGTCCTTCTAATTGCGTCCATTGTATACTACGTTATGTATTTTTCATTTCTCTCCATTCCATCTGTGAAAAATTTCTAGAAAACACTCAGAGTTCGATTCAGGCTGTCGCGTACAGCACGTTGGGGAGTTCCGCTAACGTCGTTTCGTCGTACAGCATCGATGCTAGCGTTGGTATGTATCTATGCGCACGCCGCACACGTGTATAATGCTACCGCACTAAATGCCCTCTGCCGACGCCTTTACTGCCAAAGTGACTAGTACCTTCTACACAATACACGGGAACAATAGGCCGACTTCCAACCGACGCGCGGAACAGTATTACCTGCGCGCTCATGTTCTCGCTTGGGCATAAACAATCAATGTTTGTTCAATTTTATGCCTTCACCGCACTGAACTGCTACGCGGTAGCAAGTAAGTCTCACCACGTGTTATTGCCCGCGCGGGTATCATTTACCTATCACGGCCCGTGTCCTGAACAGTCCTCCCACGTGCCCAGTTCGACGACGAAAAATAACTTCGGCTTCGGATATTAGTAGATCGCGGAACTCATTACAGATACATATGTATCATCAAATGTAATAGCGACTACTGCTGGCTGCATTTTGGTAGAGAAAATTCTAACGGTAATAATACGACATTATGATATAGCAGTCCGGAAAGGATGTAGCGGCATGGCGAAATAATAGTTTTCAAACACATACATCCGATACATTTGATCGCTAGATTAGTAAAGCAGCGTAATTTTATAACGTATAGTATTCGTAGCCAGGCAGATCCATGTTTACGGTTGCGACAGACTGAAACGTAACGTAATTGAGTCGCCAGTGTTTCTCACAGATTCGCCATCTGATCGCTTTCATTTACACAGCTATATTTTCCTTGAATTTTTGATAAGGACAAAAGGTAGATACAGCACTCATCCGGGTATCACAAAATACATGAATATCGCAAACTTTGAATGTATTTTCGTGAGAGCTTGGTGATGGGTTCCTTGCGGACCACCGGCCCCGGATCTTGTACCAAACCCCTTGCTCAAACTACGAGCACGAATTGAAGTTCCCTCAACCACTAGGCTCACCCCA